GCCATGTAGCATCCCGGAAGCGTGGCGGGCGAGCTGCAGCCCGGTGTGGATTCTGCCCGTGGTCTGGAGCAGCGTGCCAGGGTGGGGGTGGCCGAGCAGCATGGAGCTTGTGCTGCCCGTGGGGGCCAAACGTCGCAGGAGCAGGCATGGGAAGTTCTGTTAGATGTTCTGGAGGGTGTTGTTGAGAACACGTGGGTCAGGGCAGTTTCATTTATTGTTTTTTGGGGTCTAAGACGTACGTTTTCCATGCAGCCATGATTGAGGGTTGAAGGCAGCTCGCTTGTGACGCCACCGACATATCCATGCTCTTGTCCCTGGCAGGGTTGTGGCTGTTTTAAATTGCTCGGTGTGGCCCAACCACGCTGTCGTGGTTCCATGCATTCCATGGCTGAAGTACTCAAATCAGCTTGCTTACATTGACAATGAAGAAGATGAAAAATGAGTTTTCTAGATAAGCTTTAAATAAAAGCTGAATTCTTCTTTCCAGGTGTAGGGGGAAAAACTGATACATCTTGAAAATGTTCAACAAATCCTTCGGAACTCCGTTTGGAGGCAGCACTGGTTTTGGGACGACTTCAACTTTTGGACAAAGTAAGTAACGCGTCTCACCTGACTTTTCAGTACTTTTTTCCCAAGAGTTGCAGCTGGAGGATCAGGTGGAGGTGGTGACTGTGTGATGGGGTCAGGGTGCTGCTCAGCTGTCCAGCCCGTGGGCTCTGCAGTGGTGGGAAGAAGGCCCTATGAGTCGGATTCAGGAGCCCTCAGCTTCTCCCCTAACACAAGTCTTTAATTTGGGGAGATACCAGCATTCCACGTGCAGTTGTAGAAACTTCCTTTCGGAGAGGAGTGGAAACTCAAATGCTCAGATGAAGGCCATCCTGCCAGGGCACAGTGAGAGGACGTTTGAATCAGGACTGGATTCACTGGGAGGACTGGGAAAAGTGTGTAATCTGAGGAGCGTCTTCTGAGATACACGTTGTAAATATCCCAGCGAGCGAGTTTTTAGCCTTAAAGCAGAGTATAAACTGGTGTGTGTGCTGTATGTGTTAGGAAGGAAGCACAACAATTCCGAACCGAGGTGTGAGAAGAGCAACTTCCAGGTGCCTTGAAAAGTGGCAGGGGTGTTGCAGAGGGGTGTCCTCACATTCCGACTCCAGTGTCGGAGCCTTTTGCTTCAGGAGCTCTGTGCAAGCGTGAATTGTACCACTTGCCATATCCCAGACATGATAGTCATGCACAAGCTTCTTTTGGGAAGTTAAAACGGGCAGCGAGAGCATTTCCTTTCCAGTGCACGTGTTCGGAATGTGGTTTCATCTCAGCTGCAATCTGACTTTCAGATGCCGGCTTCGGTACGACGAGCGGAGGAGCGTTTGGAACGTCGGCCTTTGGGTCAAACAATAACACTGGAGGCCTCTTCGGAAGCACGCAGACAAAACCAGGTATTGCTGTGTTGTGGTTGTAGTGCAGAGCGCAGTCCTGAGAAAAGGGTGTTATATGAGATGAAAATAAATAATGGGAGGGAAGGAAAAGAAAAGGAAAAAACAAGGAACCATCAACAAAAGCAACAACAAATACCAAACTACCAATCCAAAAACCCCCAGACCACCACAGAACTGGAACACCTCTGCTATGGAGACAGGCTGAGAGAGTTGGGGCTGTTCAGCCTGGAGAAGAGAAGGCTCCGGGGAGACCTTCCAGCACCTTCCAGTACCTAAAGGGGCTACAGGAAAGCTGGAGAGGGGCTTTGGACAGGGTGTGTAGTGACAGGACGTGGGGCAATGGCTTTAAACTGAAAGAGGGGAGATTTCGATGGGATCTAAGGAAGAAATTCTTCCCTCTGAGGGTGGTGAGGCACTGGCACAGGTTGCCCAGAGAAGCTGTGGCTGCCCCATCCCTGGCAGTGTTCAAGGCCAGGTTGGATGGCGCTTTGGGCAACCTGGTGTAGTGGAGGGTGTCCCTGCCCATGGCAAGGGAGTTGGAACTGGATGATCTTTGAGGTCCCTTCCAACCCAAACCCTTCAGTGATTCCTTAGGATTAACAGTCTGTTTCTGCCTTCAGGAGGATTGTTTGGCTCAACTACCTTTAATCAGCCAGCCACCTCCTCCACCAGCACCGGCTTTGGGTTCGGAACATCGACCGGGACGTCAAACAGCCTGTTTGGCACTACCAGCACTGGTGGAGGCCTCTTCTCCTCCCAGAATAATGCCTTTACGCAGAACAAACCATCCGGGTTTGGAAGTGAGTAAAACTGCTGCATCTCTCTTGGGCATGGCTTGTTTTCCGTGATGGAAGAGCGCAGAGCGCGGGACGTACGCGTGGATCTGGCACACGTGTTAATGGGGGGTTTGGTGGGTTTTTTCTTCTCCTGAAGGATATAGCGACATTATTGTGGGCCATGTTAGCCGAGAGCGAGCCGGATACACTGCAAAATCCGTGGCTGTGATTCTAGCCAGGAGTTTTAAAACAAGTTAAAGGTGGTCAGCTGGCATTTCCTGTTAAATATCTCTTGGTGCTGCTTGACTCTGCTGCCGTAGAGCGG